GAATACAGAGAGGAGGGACACTGGGGACAGCCACACCACCATGAGATGCGGAGAGGTGGGCTCCGCATCTTGCATCCATAAGAGTGGGTAAGTAGCCCTCCTACCCCAAAGCCTTTCCCCTCGCCCCAACAGCAGTCCTGCAGCTAAGGGCCAGGAGAGAGACATAAAACTGAGGGGTGACAGAGGGCTTGTGGTGGCCAGGCGGAGGCAGAAGGCCCTTGGAGGCCGGGGAGTGCACAAAGGTGGGGAGAAACAGCCCTTCCAGCTGGTGGGTGGGGAAGAAAATCCTACTGGATGGGACCCCCTGCCCTGAGGTTTTCCTCATTCCCTGAGCCTCACTCTCTCGCCCTACCATGCCCCCAGTCTCCTGCCCTGACTCCTGCACCCCGCACACCATCAGCCACCTGCTCTGAAGGACCCAGGCAACACTGGCTAGCTCTTCTAGTATGGAATATTGAAGATGTGTCCTCAAATTGGGCATATTTTCTCTCAGAAAATGTGTAGTCAGAGTCTGTCTGCTTGGAAAATCATCCAACATTTAAAAATATAGCCACCTTCTCAATACAAAATTATAATAATTCACTCTTGGCTCTCTAATGATTTGTATAAACACTATTTATTAAGACATAACAAGACCCCTTGAGATAAATATAGCCAAGCATTCACTTGTTGGCTATTTGTGGCCCTTTGGGTTTTCCATCTAATTTAAATGAAGATTTCTACTTCTGTAAATTATCTTTGCAAAGAAGCTGCTTAAACATGCATTTTATGAAAGCAGTGATGTACATTCTGGCAGAAACACTTCAGAGTTCCTGCTCCTGGGAATGTAACCTTTCCGTAAATTAGTAAATGAGAAGCAATGAAGAGTGTGATTAAAAAAATGTTCTGATCATCCTTTGTCAGCAAACCTTAACAAATCAGATCTCCACGCTTTCCCATTACATATTGGGTGAGGCTAGTCGCTTACATATGAAGGCCATTATATAATTGTGTGTGTGTTAACATGGAGGAATAGAAAAAAATGTTGTATATTTAGGCCCCGTATATTTAAGTATCCTCATTTAGCAAGGGCGCTGAAGCACACACAAAATTAGAGCACATATTTAATACTGATAAAGTCAATAGTACAGTATTTAAGTGTTTGTGCTTAAATTAAGCACATGCTCGTGTGAAGTATCAGAGGGGTAGCCGTGTTAGTCTAAATCTGAAAAAGCAGTGAGGAGTCCTGTGGCACCTTATAGATTAACCGAAGTGTTGGAGCATAAGCTTTTGTGGGCAAAGACCCACTTCATCAGATGCTTGTGTGGGTTGCTGAATAAAGATTAATTTAAGCACATATTCCAGTGCTTTCTTGAACCAGGGTCCTAATGAGCAGTTGATTTGGACAGTAAATCCAAGTTAGATTAAACAAGGTTTCAGCAAACTATCATAAGGGTAATTGCTACAGATAATAATAAAAAAACCCACTTTATTTTCTCATAAGAGCACAAATAATTTAAGTTCTAGTAAACAAGAATGCTATTTGCTTTGTGCTAAGGGGCAGTTGCCTGAGTGGGGCAGCATGGGTCAGTGCTTGCAATTGCCAGGGTATCAACACTGCTCTCACCATCAGCCAAACAGCCAGGAGCAGCAGCACCCTTGGTTCAACATGAGTGTGGAGTGAGCCAGGCTCCAGTCCCTGCCCAGAGCCCATCTCTCACTCCCTGAGATAAGATCAGCACTCAACCTCTCCCCATTTCTCCAGGATAGGATCAGCTTGTTAACTTTCTGTCCAACAAATAGCTGCAGTCTCAATTGGGGGGCAGAAACTGGAATGCTGTCACATTGCCCAAGCCCCAAAAATATTTCTGAAATGATGCCCCTGCCATTAAATTAGATGGAGATTTGACTTAAGTCATTTAAAACAAAAATCAACCCCAGTAGTTGATGATATACAACAACAAAAACCAGTTCACTTACATTTGTAGTGCACTTTTAAAGAAAATCATGTCATTGCCTTTCATGGATTGTAGTCTTATATGCATGGTCTGAAGCCTTCAGCAAAATACTTAAGCATAAGCTTAAATCCATCACTTCTCAGGTAAGCAATATAGTTTAAACCTCAGTAAAGGCAGTGTAATACATAGTTAAGAATTTCAATGATTTCGTGAAAAGTGGCTTGCTGAACTGAGGGTCTGCTGATCTGTTCACAATGGGACTTAAGCACCTTACTGGTACTTTACACACCTAAATGCTCGACGTATATGGCACTGCTTTTCACAAACCCACCGTTCTTCTGCTACCTAACACTGTAGTCACCTAAACTCCGTTTTGGTACTTACGTTTTTGCAGTAAAAGTTCCTTAAGTGCCTGTGTTTCTGCTCTTCCAACTAACTCACCTGTGGGCTCAATGCAGTAAGCATGCTCAGGGACCACCTTACTTGACAACAGGAGGGCAAGGGAGTGGAGCTTTCGGTAAATAGTCAAAGAGTTATTGGAGGAGGGGTACTGGATCCTTTTCTCTTACCTCCAAGGTGGAGAATAATCTCACACTCACTCTCTGTACCAATGACTGTTCAGTTGTTATCCAAAGTGGAACAACTTCAATGGGAATGATTGAGAGAGATCCATGTAAGACTGTCCCATAGTCCAGAGAGCAGGGCACTCATCTGGAGGTGGCAGATCCCTGTTCAAATCCCTTTTCTTCACACAGAGGGTCTCCCATATCCTTACCACTAAGCTAAATGTTATGAGTCTAGGTGTCTAACATAGGCTTTGTAAATCTAAGTAGTTTTTCTAAAAGATGGTTGAATTCCTAAATGCTGAATTCCTAACAGTTGTTTTATTCTGTTTAATTATTTGGTTATATAGCTAAATGCTTTGTTACAAAAATAAAAACTTAAAAGGCCAAATTTTGCTTTCAGGAAAATAGGTGCAAGTTTGGAATAATTTATGATTAATTAGGCTCACTCTAGATATTTACCAGAATGAATGAATGTTATCTTTGACCTGTAACTGGGGTAGGCAATGATCTGGAGGAGGTTTACCATGGTTAACCCAATTGGCCGCCAGTGCTTTATTTCCTATGCATCTGCAGATACAGTGGCTTGCAGCTCCCATTGGCTGCGGATCACCTTCTCAGGCAATGGGAGCTATGGGAAGTGGTATTCTGGTCCATGCCACTTTCCACAGCTACCATTGGTCCGTGGCCAATGGGAGCTGCAAACAGGTGTACCTGCAAATGAACAGGTAAATAAAGCACTGGCAGCCTGCCAGGGGCTAACCGTAGAAAACCACATCAAGCCCACGGTCTGCTTATTGCCGTGGTTATCAGCACAACTGATATCAAACTAGTGGTTATCAGCACAACTGTAATTAATTGTTTTGGAAACAGCTATGATGTTGCACAGACAGGTAATTATGAGGAAATGGAAACTGATTCAGGATATGTAAACATCTTCTACAATGTCACTGAATATAGCCAGCCTAGCCGCTCTCTAGTGGAAGGACAGGTATAATATGGTAACATGAAAATCACTAGGAATGTTTGGAGGGCTGCAGTTTCCCTTTCCATTTTGTTCTCGTTTTGGCTGGGATGACAGCTATTGCTCAGGCTTGTCTTTTATTAGACTTGTTTCATATCATCAGGTGTATGTGTGTTCAATAGATCTGCATGCTTTCTGTGGTAAATCTTGCTTTATTGGTATCTCAGATCCTCCAGTAAATCTTGTCTCTAGCTATTCAGTATTCAAGCAAGCCCCTCATTGCCCACACTTACCCATCAGAGATTTTTGTAACTCCTTTTTTGTAATTCCACACAAGTGAATTTAGGCTGCAAATTGGTTGGATTTTTCTTTTCCCCTGTGGGAAATTTCAATTTCTTAGGATGGAATCAACAACTGAATTTTTTTTCAGCTGAAAACTAAAATTTTCAATTAGGAAATGCTTCCAGTGGCTTATGTCAGCTGTAATTCAGGCACTCGAGTCCCCTTTCTCCTCTTTGTACTGGGATCCCTCTCTGGACTACACCCCTCATGATGTAATATAGTAACAATTAAAGTAAAACATTAACAGTGCCACATTACCTTAATCTCTTTTCTCTATCTAGATTTCTCAGCCTCATTGTGAAGATAATTTTCTCTTGCTACATTTGTCTGTTAAAACATGAAGAAAATATTTCTTTCTGCTAATTTTTCTAAAGATGACATCCTTACTTCCAAGAATCAGGACAATTGTTCTTATGCTACCATTTCTTGTGGTATTGGGCTTTTAACATGCATTTTTGCTGCTGTTTGTTTACTTTGGCCTCTCTGGAAAAACTTATCTACAAAACCAAACTGAGATTAAAAGATGCCAATTAGAGATGGTTGGTTATTCTTGCTTCAGGAAACTCTCTACCACAGTAAAATCCAGTTGGGATCAGTGTGTGATGTCCAAGCAGTTTGAACATCTAGCCACTTCCCAAAGTGAAGATTTTCTTGCAGAATCATTTTGTTATAACTCATCTGAATGTCCAAATGCCTCATGTTCATTCTTTCACTTGATAACTCCCCGGAATGACCTTCATATTCCAAGAGTACCCTTTAGGAAGATCTATTGGGCCATTTAGCCACTGGGAAAGAAAACTATATTAGGCTTTTTTTATTAGTATACCATAACCACCCACGGTTATACTCTTGAATATGTGGGTGTTGTATCAGTTTGCTAGGGGAACACTTAACTACTCAGACTACTCTTTGCATAGTAACATGATAGGTGTATTACATAAGTATCTCCCATTCTGGAGTGGTATCTCATTAGAACACATGAATTAACTGACTAATGGTGTGATTCCTAAGTAATATATAGAAGGCCCAATATACCTGCAGTACCAATAATTCATGTAACTGATGATTATTCATAGGTACTGATAAGTGGTACATCCACTGCTCATCTGTCTCTAATGTTATTGTTTGAGTATTTAATGTGCTATGGTATATGTTTCATGTAACTTACACAACTTGTTCATTTGGATCCATTAGGCCAGAACCGGTATTGTGGACAAAGGATGGCGGAGAACTACCAGATCCAGAGAGAATGGTTGTCAATGGTAGGGACCTAAGAATTAGTTTCTTAAACAAAACGGACAATGGTACATATCGATGTGAAGCAACAAATCCTATTGGCCAAAACAGCACAGAGTATGTCTTGATTGTACATGGTGAGTACATGTCTTTAAATATTGTAAGAAAGAATACCTTGATTAATATTCGAATTTTGTTATTGTTTCAATCAACTATAAACAAATGTTTAAGACAACACAAAAGAATGACAAGAAAAAAACTAGAAGTGTAATTTTTAGAGCGTCATCTAGTAGTAAACAGTCTGGCTGCCTTTTATTAGTATGTGTTTAATAAATTTTGTACAACATATATCTTTCCAAAGTGTGGGGAACTTTTTGCTAATTAAGCAACAGGCAAAAATGTATTTGAGAGAATGCAGGGAACTGTTTTACGCATAATTGTATTCCTAAAACATGGTATTTAGATAGAACTGTCTGTAAGGGCATGTCTACGCAGCAGAGCTAAAGCCGAGATCAATTGCATAGCTTAAGTTGAAACAGCTTATTTCGGCTTTTGGTACTGTCTCCACGGCAGGAAATCTGTTAGAACACTCTTCCCCTGACTTCCCTTACTCCTCATAAAGTAAGGGTTACAGGAGTCAGAGTAAGAAATCCTCCAGGTCACCATTATTTTGACATTATGTCAAAATAAATGCTTGCTGTGTAGATGTGGACTATGTTTTTTCAGAATAACACTAGTTATTCTGAAATAACACTGCTGTGTAGACATAGGCTAAGTGTCTAGGTTATGTGTAAACATAGCCAAGAAATACAAGTCAATTGCTATTTATTTTGTAAACCATTCAAGACTGAATACTAAAGATTTCTCTTATAAATTACAATCTGATGCTGAGCATTCTCAACTCCCAATGTAATCTGAAGGTCCTAGAGAACTGCTCCAGAGAATGAGGCCTGTTTTAAAATCAGCCCTAAAATTGTCTAGTAGCATAAGTTCATAATAATTATTGTAATAATTGGTAGTGTGGTTCTCACTTAATTATTATTGTTTTGTTTTGCCCGATTTGTCTTGATGCTTCATGTCAAAAGAATAAAAGCCTTAATATTAAGTGTGAAATACTGATTCAACAAAAATACAGCAGAGTCTATTACAAGAATCAGCATTTGGCATCTATCATCACACCATAACCACAGATACCTACTATTAAAATCTGTTACTTCAGACACCACTGTGTGAGGTAACTGCTGGAAAATGACTCCTACAGTCTGTATGTGAACCCACGTCTCAAAGGTCAGATGAGTTTATTAACTCCATTGCAACACCTGTGGCAATCCCTTTTTTCCCTCGCTTTTATACATGAGCAACTTTTTTCAGCACCACTGCAAAATAAGGAAGCACTTTGTGAGTCTCAGACTGTAAAAGAGTCATTGAAATGAGAAATATGAAGTCCATCTCCTCCTTATGAGCAATTTAAGTGGAACAAACATATTGTTACTCTGGTGTTTGCAAGCTAGCCAACAGCATGATTCACTTCAAGTGCCAAATTACCTTAAGGTAGTTTGGCAGTTAACACATTTATAATGAATACTTCTCTAAACATTTTGTAATTAGTTATTTTCTGGCTCCATTGTTAAACTATAATTGATCAAAACACCCAATGGATTAATACTGTTCATGCTGCTGAAGTTCATCGTTTGTTTACCTAAGATTAGTGAAACCAGTAATGACAGGCTCTTTGGACCTCTGAGGCTCCACTGAGGAGTATTATTATGTTTAAGAAAACAAAAAAAACAACTCACCCAAAACTCTACTTATGCTGATTCCAAAAAATATTTCCCATTTAAATCCTGTAAGTAATGGTTTATTAGTTATTGGCTGGATACACAAAATGCTAATGTCTCTCTTTGATGGAGTGACAGTTTTCCAAAACCTAGCAACTATTGAAATCTGAGCGGTCTCTTTATTTTGCCAGAAGTATTGAAGTGATAATTTGGGAGAATTTGACCCTTTTTGTCTCTTACATCATGGTTATTTTAACATTAGCTGTGACAATTTAATATGTCTCTAAGTACGAATGTTTCATGATCAGCTGCCTCGTGACTTTCACTTTCAGTAGCATGCACCTGTTAACCTGATTACCATGCTACGCTTGATGGCAGTCTTTAAAATCATCATTATCAAGATGCCATTCTGCTGTGTGTGACAGCACATTATGAATCTTATCTCATTTAACATTGCTGACAATGTCTGTTATGAATACTGGAGCTTCCCTAATTGCATTCATGCAAATCTAGCATTAGAACTAGAGACAGTAATTTGGCTTCCTACAACTCAGTAACATTGAAAGTTGTATGACAGAGGATGCAATGATGCTTGCTATTAATAACCTGTAACATACCAGAGTTATAAAGCTGCAGCTGTAAATGAGAGGTTGGGATTAATTATTTTATCAGGTATAGAATAATTAGTTTACGCAGATCAATTTGGGCAGCACTTGTCTCCTCTTTTGATCATTGCTTCTTGCTGATCAACTCTTCTGGATCTAATGAAACAGGAACTTCCCCAAATCAGGCATTTTTACCAGTCTTCCTTGCTGTTTGAAAACTGATGACAAGGAGTTTTGGTATCTTGCAGTCAGATTGTCTTATTGACTAGAGGACTTATTTTCTCTTTGTGTATTCCTAAATAGATTCATAGTACTCTTTGGTTCTTCATGTCCGTTCCAAAAGGTGTGCACGCACTGCATGCACAATCATCAGAAGACATTTCCCCCCCTTTGCGGTACTGGTAGGGACAACTATGGAGCTTCCCAAAGTGGTGCTTGCATCATGCAGAATATAGGGCTTACCCGGCCCTCTACTCTTTACCTCCATAGGCCATGGGTATTTTTGAAAGCTAGCAATATTTAACCCAGGCACTAATCCTGCTTTAATTTAAATCCAAGGTAGCAGGACTAGGTTTTTGCTCTGTAAACTCCCAGGTTTAATAGCTCAGGGAAATTATATGAAGTGTTTGAAAGTTCTTGACAGGGGGTATGTCTACACTACCCTCCTAGTTCGAACTAGGAGGGTAGTGTAGACATACCCTGAGAGTGTGAAGGGCTGGCTGAGCCCTATATACAGGGCTCCACAGCCACCTCAACAGGTACCGCAAGAGGAAAAGATGTCTTCCAATGATCGTGCCTATGGAGAGCACCCACCTATTGGAATAGACATGAGCAGCACATCTTGAAGAACAACAGTTACAGAAGATAAATAACCTTTTTTTTCTCTTCACATCTTCTCTTGTAGCAAAGATAGCAACATGAAGATAGTTGTCCTTTCCCAAGCAAGGGACAGTATATCTTTCTCTCCTTCTCATTGCCTTCATGGGCTTCTTGGCAGGCTCTGGCTAATGGCTTATATAGCCTTTCTGCCTTGCCCCATCTACAAATTAGGCACAGCCTTGCATTGTCAGCTCCAGTCTATTTTGCTTTACTGGAACTGCTATGATAAGTGTTGATTCTGGCTTTTTTACCTAGCACTCTGTCACACCTTTATTGTGGCTTACAAACCATCAGGGAGTCATGCATTCTGTCTTGCCCATCTTTCATTTCTTATACATACAATGCCAAATTTATAGGGATGGACCAAAGCCACATGAGAAGGGAGTTTCCACAAGGAAGCCCTCACAGATTTCCCCTGTACTGTCTAGTCAGAGCAGCAATAGCTGAGACAATCGGAATCCATCAAGCTCACAAGAAAACATGCAAATACCCTACGTTGCTTCCACTCTGCTCTGAACACCAGCAGCACCCCATTAGCAGTGCGATTTCACTGAAGCCAAGCTACCCATGAGTTTGTCACAGCAGCCTCTAGGACTGCAGGGTGAGATTGATGGTTACGTGTACAAGACAATACAACTACTAGGGCTGTGTTAATATTTCTAGGTAAGCTCATTGGAGCTGGAGAGAGACCAGTAGGCAACCCCCAACCTTTCCACTTTCCTGACTGTCCCAGGGGCTCATGGAGCTTGGGGTACTTTAGGTCTGGGGTATTTTGCTTCCTGCTGCTGTGGAGAAGCAGGGCTCAGCCAACTGGGAGAGGTTGTGCGTCATAGTGGAGCAGGCAGCAAGACCGCTCCGGATCCCGCTGCCACCATGGTGAGTGTGGGGAAGGGGAAAATCCCTGCTGCTGCCACAGGTACCTCCCATCCATAGGACAGTTGAGGCAGGTGCTGTGGGCCTGGGGCAACCACCCTGAACCATCCTATGGATGGGATGGCTCTGCTCCCAGTCTATGCACCGTTCCTGGATTATGGGAAAATGATGCCACCAGATCAAAATGGAGAAATGAGGCCACTGAGGCCCCTTCTATATGTGGAAGGTTGTCTCCATGCACGGAGCCGTGGAAAGGGAAGCGTGATCTCACTCACAGCAGTCTCGGTATTTAATTTTTACCCATATATGATTTTTGCCCTGTTTGTCTTATTTTTTTCTCTCTCTCTACTAAATTTATCTTTCTGGGTTTTTTTCAAGTTTCTCAGACTTGCCTACCCTCCCTATTCTATATTTTACTGTTAACATGTCTCTCAGTGGGACCCTATCCACTAATTCCCTCAATTTTCCAAAGTTATCTTCATAACTCAGAAGAGATTTAGACAGCTTAGAGCAGAAGCTTGCCTAAAAATGAAAATGTGTAGTTTATCATAATTAGAGATTAAGGGTAAAGCAAAGTGTTTATACATATTAATTATACAAACAAACCAAGGCACTGTGATGCCTTTAATTGGGACAACCTAGACTTAAAATTGTGTAGAAGAGTCATCTCCCAATGCAGAGGAAGATGAGGTAATAGTGTCCTGGTGTCGGTTGATGGTAGTTTAAATAAATATAGTTATATGGAAACTAATTGCAGTTTGTTATAATTAATATCTGTAGTTAATATCTTTGTTTAATTTTTTTCCCCTGGAAATAAAGGAATTTAGTTTTAGATAAAGTCAATGAATTTAACTATGAAATGGGTCTGTGCTGCTTTGCAGAAGACATATAGGTGCTACTTTAATTTTTCTTTTATTATTAATAACACATGCCAAGCAAACATTCCAACTGGAAGGTGTACATGAAATGAAAGTTTTTTAGACAGCAGTGCAAAGGGAAAAT